ACTGTAATTTAAAAATTATACATATTCAGTGCCAGGAAATTAGCAAGAGACTTCTTTTTAAGCAATGGATTTCTACTTACTACCATAAAGTACATTAGTACAAAAACTGAACAGACTAGCTAGAGTTTCATACATTTTTATATATCTCAATATTTTATCATCATAACTAACATATATTAAATGAATGTGTCTCAAGAACTTAAGTGAGAATTTAGAAGTATTAAATTTTTTAAATAATTTCCTTTTTTGAATTTGATTTTTAAAATTTTGGCCGTGCTGGGTCTTCTGTGCTGCTCTCTTTAGTTGCATCAGTGGGCGCAACCAGGGCGCCCCTGGTGGCTCCAATGGTGAAGGGTGAGGGTGAGGGTTAAAACACAGCACAGCCCAGCACTGTACAACTATAGTTGTGGTGCGCGGGCTTCTCTCTGCCAGGCTTCTCTTCTTGTGGAGCACAGGCTCCAGGGCATGTGGGCTCAGTCACTGCGTCACACTGGGCTTAGCTGTGCCGTGCATGGCATGTGGAATCTTCCCGGACCAGGGATTGAACCCATGTCCACTGCATTTACAGGTGGATTCTTAACCACTGGCCCACCACAGAAGTCCTAGAAGGATTACATTTTACTACAACAATTCCCATTTTCAGCTGAGAGAACTGAGGCACTGAGAGGTTAGGCGACCAGATCAAAGTCACAGACCGTGCTGTGTGGTGCTTAGTCGCTCTGTCCTGTCTGACTCTTCACGACCCCATGGACTGTCGCCCTCCAGGCTCCTCCATTCATGGGGATTTTCCAGGCAAGAATATTGGAGTGGGTTGCCATGCCCTCCTCCAGGGGACCTTCTTGACCCAGGGATCAAACCCAGGTCTCCCACACTGCAGGCAGATCCTTTACCCTCTGAGCCACCAGGGAAGCCCAAGAACATTGGAGTGGGGAGCCGATCCCTTCTCCAGGGGGTCTTCCCCACCCAGGAACCCAACTGGGGTCTCCTACATTGCAGGCAGATTCTTTACCAGCTGAGATACTAGGGAAGCCCCAAGTCACAGACTATGTATGGTCAAACCCAATATTCTCTAGAGGTTGCACTCTTAACTATCCATACCCTCAACTACACAGCAGAAGCTATTATTTATGGGGCCTACACTGGGCTCTGACAGAAAGGAGTGAAGGTCATATATTAGGAGTATGAAAAATAAAATTGGAAAATCACCAATTTTCTTTCTTTTGGGAAAATCCAATTTTTATTGCATTATATTGGTCTTATCATAGGTTATAAAATGGCATTCTGATGTACTGATAGCAAATAATTTACCATTATGCTGTGACTTAAATTTACATTTTGAGTTTAAGCAAACATTTTGCTAGGAGCCTTCTTTTCAGCTTATCCTCTTGAGTTATGCTTGGGAAAGGTTCTCTCCTTTCAGAGACAACCAAACTTACAGAAATGACTGGGGTGTGGTACTTATGGCTCCCAGTTTATAAAGTGACTATGAAATGATAAGATTAACTTTACAAGTAAAAGTTTAAAGGTGTGGGCTCACTGTGACGTAATTCACTCAAATATTTCATAGAGTTCCTCCAGGCACTACTCTAGGAGGTACAGTGATCTCTGCCCTTCTGAGATATATTATTACAGGTGCCTTACATATCTGAAGGTCATGGTTTTTTATTAGACGTCCAAGGTATGAAAGTTATTCTGTCATTTGAAAAACATGCCATCCTCTTCAGGACACGGTCTGGGGACACACTCAGTGATAAGGAACCACAATGCCAGCGGTTCTCCAATGCTTTTGTGTAAGAAAACTTCCTGGAGAAGTTGGAAATCAGATCCCAGGAGTCTGCATTTTTACCAAGAACTTCACGTTATGTTGATGTAAGTGATCTGAGATCTAGACATGGAGAAACCTGCCAGTAAGTGGAACCATTCAGAAGAGAAAGATCACTCACAAGAGAAGAGCCCTATGGCAGTGGGATGTGAACTGAGGAATATAAACCCGACTGACCTGTAATTAATTACCTGTAATTCACAAGTCCACATTAAAAAGCTGAGTAAGAGTAGATGAATTTAACGGCACCTCCTCCTTAACCCCCTTTATGGAGATTTGAGTTTGCCTCAATCTAGTTATTTTGAGAAAACATGAACTTAAGCAGAGCTTTATTTCTGATAAGAGGGATAAGCATTAAGAAAAAGGAAACTGCTAGTCAATTGCAAAAAAAAAAAAAGCTAAGAGAGACAAACATTTCACGGAACTAACTTGCTACCGCTCATTTTATGCCCTATTTCACAATGCTTAGTATCTGAACAATCCACAGGGTTCCAAAGTACATCAAAAATGTGTTCATTTCCTCTCTTACTCAGGCAGAATAATAATAGACTTTTGTGAAGGTACCATGTGCCTCAGAAATTTCAAGATACATTCTTAAATAAAGAAATAGCCTTCAAAAACAATTCCATCAGAAATTCACCCTACTGGAGCTACTTATAGAAGTCTTAAATAGCTTTTGGACCATCACTAAATTAGTGTCCTTCATTTCTGAATTTGGATTACCTAAAGTTTTTGGCTTCTTTACAACTGTCCTACAGAAAGAACTCAATATTGAAAAATGTTTTTCTTCTTTTGTTATAAGCAAACAATCATAAAAATAACATAAATGTTTCAGGTGAACTATTAAAAATTTAAAAACAAAACACAGCATTTTGTTCTCCATGATAAGTAGAAATCATAACTTTGGGGGGGGGTACTCAGCTTCTTCACCTTAAGTCATATAAAAATAAAGGTACCCCAACAAATATACTCCTATTTCAGACGGTAAGCGTAGCACTACATAAACCAGCCGGCCTGCTGGCTCCACGGTCCCAGTTCCTACCCTCAGATCCTGTCCACTACATAAACACTGAGCCTGGTCTTCATCCATTCAAAGGGATTAGTAAAAACTGCCTCTCCGATGACAGAATTGAGATTTTCCAGATGTATTTTTGGCACGGTACTTGTTTTTTATTATCTATACTTTTTATTGCACTTGCTTTTATTTGGACGTCCCGACCACGTAAACATTAAGAGCAGGATGCCAGCAGATAAAGCACAAAGAAACGCAGCTATTAGGAGTCGCATCTATTTAAATTTCCAGGCTGGTGCTGCCTCCAGAATAGCACTGAGGATGGCAAAGTTCTAAAGGAAACTTTCATATTAAGAGGCTAGCAAAAAAATCTCCAGAGCCTCTAACTCAACGCAGAAGCCCCTAATTATTTTCTTCAAAAGCAAAACCTTTAGTCTGAATCACAACAAAAGATGCCCACAGGAAATGTAATCTACGAAGGTGCTTCCTAATCCAAAAGGCAAACAAGAAGTAAGAGGGAAAGGCGCAACCCCATTCCTCGTCGGTTTCCTCTTCCTGGGGATTCTGGCTGCATTTTCCTCGGTCAAGCCAGACAGAGCCTGGCAACTGTGCCTCCGGTCCACACCGTGAAACCGTGTCAGTGCGTAAAGAAGGGGAAAGGGAAGCGGCCGACGCCGGGAACGCGCTCCCCCCTTGAAAGGAAGAGCCGCTTTCTGTGAAATACCACCGGAGTCAAGTCAGTTCCAGCAGGAGGACGCGGGGCCAAAACGGCATTGACTGCCCTTCACTGACAGGGTTGTGGGTTTTTTGGTTTTTTTGTTTTTGTTTTTTTTTTTTTTGCGGGCGGAGGAGAGAGAAGAAGGGATGAGCCGGGGAGGAGAGGCCGGGCATTTCGGATCCCCGGCAGGCTGGCGGGGAGGCGAGGCTCGGCCCGACCGCCCGACTCGGGCGACCGCGGGCAGGGAGGTCAGCCCTGCAAGGGAGCCCACGCCCCGCGGGCCCCTAGAGAAAGGACGGGACCTCCCCCCCGCTCGGCCGGCCACGGCGACCAATGCCCATTCAACCCCCCCCGAAGCCCGTCCCGCGGCCGCCGCCCACCCCCCAGCCTCGGTCCGCCGCGGAGCCCCGGCCTCCCGGCGCGTGCCAGCCGGCCGCCACCACCCACCACCCACCCAGCCACCCCCGGCGGCCCGGGAGGATGGGAAGGACGAGACACACGGGCGCCTCCAGGGCGCGCGGCTCAGGGTGAAGGGTGCCGGGAGGGACGCGCACACTGGCCCCGGGGTCGGAAGGGGATGGACGGGCGTCCCGGGCGGCCATCGCGCCCACCCTCGCCCCCACCGCCTGCCCGGTGCAAGGCAGGCCGACGCGGTCCAGCTCTCTCCTCACCTCATCTCCAGGCGGGTCCACGCTGCCGCCTCAGGGGGACAAAAAAAAATCAGTGCAACTCACTCGCCGCGGGAAGGGGACGCAGGAGCCGCAGCCCCGCACACCATCCCCGCCCGCCTCTCGGGGCGTCCCGGAGTCCGCCCGGGATTCTCCCTCGCGAGCCGCCGTACTACCGAGCAACCAAGCTGCGCGCCCTCCCGTCTCCAGCTCAGCTCTCTGCCTCCCTTCGCTCCCCTCCCTCAGTCCCTCGCTCCCGCCTATCTCCTCATCTCCCCGGGGACCTGCCTCCCCCGCGCCCTCTCCGCCCCTTCGTCTCCGCCCACGGGGTGGGTGGGTGGGGACAATGAAAAAACAACCAATCGAAAGAAAGGGTTCACACCTCCTCCCGCCCCTCTCCCTCTAGCCCCGCCCACCGCGGGGGTAACGCAACTGAAAAAAAAAAATCTGGAGGAGGACGGAGTGACACCCGCATCGACAAATCAGCAAGCTCAGAGAGGGCGGGACCTGGCCGCCCTAATCCCCTCCCCCGCCGCCCCGCCCCCTTTCCCGAAGCAGGCCTCTGGCGTAGGGTTTCCCGACGGGCATAGAAGCGTCTGTGTGGGGCTTCGGAACGTTTTGTTCCACGGCCTCGGTGCCATTTGGCCGTTGCTGTGCGAGGCGAGGTACAAGTTAGGACGTCTTCAACTAACTAACGGCAGGTGTCACAGGAGAGAACAATGTAGAGGCACAAGGAGGGCGGGGCACAGTCCCAGGAAGGTGATGGGGATACGGTTGGAATGAGGAAGGGTGTGGTCTTGAACAAATTTACATAAAGCTGAACCCGTCGGCCTCTAGGACTTCGCGCATTGATTGGTAGCCCCAGGCGCGTCGCCGTGGAGCCTGCCGGGAGATGTAGTTCCGCGTTCGGTTGCTATGGCCCTCTCCGCGCATTGATTGGAAGCCCCAGGCGCGTCGCCTTGGAACATGCCGGGAGATGTAGTTCCGCGTTCGGTTGCTATGGCCCTCTCCGCGCATTGATTGGAAGCCCCAGGCGCGTCGCCTTGGAACATGCCGGGAGATGTAGTTCCGCGTTCGGTTGCTATGGCGGTCTCTAGAGTGCGAGACTGACGAGCGACCTGACCAATGGGAACAGGCCTTGGCGCTTAGGGGGCGGGTCCTCTACTGAGGGGCTCGAAGGTGGCGGAGGTGAAACTGCTGGCCGTTGGAGCCGCTCCGAGGCAGGTGAGCGCAAAGAGACGCGCTACGTGTCTTGGGAAACCGGGCTTTGGGCGGAAGCTCGGGAGACGCCCAGCGGGACCGTCCAGCCCTGGGGCGCAGGGTGCTTTCCGTAGCACCCCAACCTTACTAACACTTCTCGGGCTCAGGCCTAGCTGGCTTAGCTGAGGCCGCTGAGGGGCGGGAGAGACTTGATTTGCCTGACGATTTCCTGGTCTTTACTGGTTTTGATGGTGGATGTTATTTCAGCTTGCATCTTCCTCCACTTTCATGGAAGCAAAAGTCTGGAAGTTCCCTTCCACCGAGACTCCCAGGTTGGATTTTACCCACTCCCGCGTCTTTTTGTTTCTATACTTTGAGTTTCTTTTTCTTTCTGCCTTAATGCTTCTATACTACTGCTTTCTCCTCCGTTACTCCCACCCCCGCCCCCCCGCCGGGGACAGTTACTTAAAGCAGGGGCATTCGGGTTTATGTAACTCTAGGGCCAGATTTGCCCTCCAGATTAAGCTAAAGGGAGGAATACTCTGGAGCAACGCGTGAGAACCACCTAGAACCGTTTTGAAGTGCAGACGGCGATGCTGAGGGTGTGGGCGGGTCCTGAGAATCTCCGTTTCTGACAAGCTCTCAGGTGCTGCCAGTCCAGGTTACAGGCAGCAAGGTTTTGCATGTGTAATTGGAGCCACTTAAAAAAAAGAGAGAAAAAAAGAGAGAAATATGTGAAATTAATGCTAGAGTTTTATTTAACCCAGTATATCTAAAATATCATATCAGCACGTAATCAAATGTTTAAAAATCGAGATTTTGTGCATTCGTTTTCTTCACATTTGAAGAAACCTGATGGACATCTTATGCTAACAGTACATCTCAGTTCTGACTAGGCACAGTTCAAGGGCTTCAGGATGATACAACCCACTGAAGAAATTAAAAGGTATTAAATCTTGGGTTGCCTCTGACAAAACCCCTGTGAGATGCTCTGTGAGATGGATTTTTGGAAGTACTTTAGATCTCCACTCAATTTACAGAAATAATAGTACAAACAGCCAGCATTTATTCAACACTTCCTTTGTGCCCGGTATTGTACTTGAGTGCTTTGCATGTATTATTTAAGCCTTACTGTTACTCTCCTGTTTAACAGGTGTGGAGTTTAAGGACCAGATGGTTAAAATTACCTAGTGTATGTAGGTCATACTCTGAATACGTGGAAAAGCCAGGATTCAGAATAGGGTCACTTAGGACTTATAAATCCATCAATCACCGCAGTGTATAATTATTACATTTTTTCACTAATTTCAATTCATTGACGCCTCTGCTCTAGTTTACCACTAATCCTGAGACATTCAGATGTCAAACAGAGAGGGTTCACCATACAAGGCACAGTTCCCTCGGTTGTAGTGAAATATTTGGGTAGTCTTACAACTCTCTGTGGTGTCCATTCAATATCAAAGTTCTAAATTGAAGAAGAGTGTTCCAAACCTCAAGGAGATATATAGGCTTTACCCTGTACTATACTGTACCCAGTACTATACCCTGGACAGTGTGTCTTGGTTCATCTGTGTACCACCTTGAAGGAGGAAAGTGGGAAGGCTTGGGAATTCTTAAAACGTTTCACCTTACAATCACAATGTTTTGGGGTTTGTTTTTGGTGAAATCTTTTATTTATTGATAAAGTGAATCTTTTCTTGCTCATGCAAACTTCACATAGAATAGTTCAAATACAACTTTAGTATTTTTGCAAAATAATTCTTTTTATCAGTTCAGTTCAGTCGCTCAGTCATGTCTGACTCTTTGCGACCCCATGAATCGCAGCACGCCAGGCCTCCCTGTCCATCACCAACTCCCAGACTTACTCAAACCCATGTCCATCGAGTTGGTGATGCCATCCAACCATCTTATGCTCTGTCATCCCCTTCTCCTCCTGCCCCCAATCCCTCCCAGCATCAGGTCCTTTTCCAATGAGTCAACTCTTCACATGAGGTGGCCAAAGTACTAAAGCTTCAGCATCAGTCCTTCCAGTGAACACCCAGGACTGATCTCCTTTAGGATGGAATGGTTGGATCTCCTTGCAGTACAAGGGACTCTCAAGAGTCTTCTCCAACACCATAGTTCGAAAGCATCAATTTTTTGACGCTCAGCTTTCTTCACAGTCCAACTCTCACATTCATACATGACCACTGGAAAAACTATAGCCTTGACCAGATGGACCTTTGTTGGCAAAGTAATGTCTCTGCTTTTTAATATGCTATCTAGTTGGTCATAACTTTCCTTCCAAGAAGTAAGTGTCTTTTAATTTCATGGCTGCAGTCACAATCTGCAATGATTTTGGAGCCCCCAAAAATAAACTCTGACACTGTTTCTACTGTCTCCCCATCTATTTCCCATGAAGTGATGGGACCAGATGCCATGATCTTAGTTTTCTGAATGTTAAGCTTTAAGCCAACTTTTTCATCAAGAGGCTTTTTAGTTCACCTTCACTCTCTGCCATAAGGGTGGTGTCATCTGCATATCTGAGGTTATTGATATTTCTCCCAGCAACCTTGATTCCAGCTTGTGCTTCTTCCAGCCCAGCGTTTCTCATGATGTACTCTGCATATAAGTTAAATAAGCAGGGTGACAATATACAGCCTTGAGGTACTCCTTTCCTGATTTGGAACCAGTCTGTTGTTCCATGTCCAGTTCTAACTTTTGCTTCCTGACCTGCATACAGTTTTCTCAAGAGGCAGGTCAGGTGGTCTGGTATTCCCATCCCTTTCAGAATTTTCCACAGTTTATTGTGATCCACACAGTCGAAGGCTTTGGTGTAGTCAATAAAGCAGAAATAGATGTTTTTCTGGAATTCTCTTGCTTTTTCAATGATCCAGCGTATGTTGGCAATTTGATCTCTGGTTCCTCTGTCTTTTCTAAAACCAGCTTGAGCATCTGGAAGTTCACGGTTCAAATATTGCTGAAGTCTGGCTTGGAGAATTTTGAGAATTACTTTACTAGCGTGTGAGATGAGTGCAGTTGTGCAGTAGCTTGAGCATTCTTTGGGATTGCCTTTCTTTGGGATTGGAATGAAAACTGACCTTTTCCAGTCCTGTGTCCACTGCTGTGTTTTCCAAATTTGCTGGCATATTGAGTGCAGCACTTTCACAGCATCATCTTTCAGGATTTGAAATAGCTCAATTGGAATTCCATAACCTCCACTAGCTTTGTTTGTAGTGATGCCCTCTAAGGCCCACTTGACTTCACATTCCAGGATGTCTGGCCCTAGGGGAGTGATCACACCATCGTGATTATCTGGGTCGTGAAGATCTTTTTTGTACAGTTCTTCTGTGTATTCTTGCCATTTCTTCTTGATATCTTCTGCTTCTGTTAGGTCTTTTTATACATTGTAGTAAAGATGATATCTTGTGAAATTATCTTCCCTTGATGGTGAATTTATTAGTAAATATTTAATCAAAAGTACAGTTCCTACTTTGCATCTGAAGTAAGTAATGATTAAACACCCAATAGTGATTTATAGAATTAAGTAAGTGTTGACAGACTGCAATTATATTGGTGTATGGAGAAGATGATCCCTTAAGTCAGTTGGAAAGGAGGGAGAATGTAGTAAAAATGTAGGGAGGATCCTTCAGTTTATCTTCCTCATCCCTTGCCTTGTCCTAGTGTCACATGATCAAGCCAGCAGGAAGGGAAGGCTGCCATTCATGGCACCATTGGCTGCACTGTTCCCCAGTAGTACAACATGGCAAAATAGGATGCTAACTCAGCAATATAAATGAAGGCCAAGTTTCTGTTGTTCTGAGTCTTACTGTATCAAATTGCCCAACATCACATAGAGACTGGGGCAATGACTTCTAGTCTGGGATTAATGACCATCCCGCTTCCCCACACCACCCACTGCCCACCCTCCAGCAGCACTGACTTCTAGTCTGTGATTAATGACCATCCCACTTCCCCACACCACCCACTGCCCACCCTCCAGCAGCACTGACTTCTAGTCTGGGATTAATGACCATCCCACTTCCCCACACCACCCACTACCCACCCTCCAGCAGCACTGGCAAAGGGGCCCACTAATAAGAATTCTTAAGTGAAAAAAAAAAAAAAAAGAATTCTTAAGTGAAAAGGTATTTTGTAAATCAACAAATAACAAAAGTTAAGCTCTCTTGGAGGGAGGAGAATTAATCAAAAATTCTTTTGATATTCAGAAGAGGTCATTGTTGGAAGCCCTTGTTGCATGGATAGGCAACAGTTTGACATAGCTAATTAAATGTCTCTTGTCTTGCTTCCACATAAAGCCTTTACCAAAAAATTATTTTCCTTTTCCTAATTCTTCACCTAGCTTTAGATCTCAACTTAACATGAGATGTAAAGAGGACGCCCCACTTGTATAAAAATTCAATCAAGTATGTCTTGATAATGTCCATATAAATCTAGACTCTCATAATCAGAAGAGACTTTGATATGGTCATCTCATTCCCATCCCCCTCAACTGATGCTTGAATCTCCCTTATGATGCTGCTCTAAATGTGTATCCAGCCTCTAGTTTAAGTCCATCTATTAATAGGGACCATGTCACTTCATGCATTTTCCTAAGTCATAGCTCAGTTGGTAAAGAATCTGGCTGCAATTCAGGAGACTTGGGTTCAATTCCTGGGTTGGGAAGATCCCCTGGAGAAGGAAATGACAACCCACTCCAGTATTCTTACCTGGAGAATCCCATGGACAGAGGAGCCTGGCAGGCTATAGTCCATGGGGTCACAATGAGTCAGACACGACTTAGCAACTAAACCACCACCACCAAAATGTGAAAGTAAAAAGTTCTTAGGATATGTGCTACTAGCTAGAAATGCTTTGCAGAGTTTAGCTAGGTGTGAGCCACTGTCACAGTGTTTCCCATGCCCATCTTGTAACAGGCACAGGAGAGCAGTACAGTGTATGACGCCAGTGTACTCCTTGTTTATGTCAAGTGTCCTTGGAATTTATAGATTTCTGGAGACTATCTCCAGCACAATGTAGAGACGTCCCTCCCTCTTTAAGAAGCAGAGCTGGCCTGTCCAGTTCGGCCTACCAGTCTCCTCTGCAGCCTGCAAAGTATATGGTATTTGAACCAGACCTCCAGCTAGTTACTTTGATTTTGCTGACCATAATAGGTTTTATGGGTACATGGTTTAACATTCTTCTTTATCTGATATGTGGATATGTATGAAAAGTCCCACAGGTGGGTAAGAACATGGTTAAAACTTAAGCACCTCTTCAATATGACTGAAGATTTACCCCTAACAATCCGCTAGCATTGTAATACTGTCCACTCAGCCCAGCAAGATGATGAGCCACCTTTCAGAGCTGACTTCTTCTGGTTTTTTTTTTTTTTTTTCAGTAGCCCAGCTGCTTGACAGTTTGTCTGCTTTCTTTAAAACAAAAATGAGAGTGGTTGAAGCATAATACTTCACCATATTATGAAGTTTGTGTTGGGAATAATGAAAATTTGAGCGCATAAGAGTCTGGACTTTGAAGTTGTCCGCAGGGAGAGAAGGAAGCTGTGCAGCCGCCTGTGGCCGTTGCCCAGGCCTCAGGCTTCACAGTTTGGGCCTGTAATTGTGCTTACATCCAAGAGGAACACTTAAACCAGGAGATTGTAAAGGAGAAGGAAGCCTAGAGGAGGGAATTATGAGAGATTCTAAGATATCCTCGAGGGCTGAAGTTGGCACAACAGAACCTTGTTTGGAGGCGGGAAAAGTGAGTCTAGTTTTATGACTGTTGACTTTGAGGTTGAGCTGATATTCAGAACACTTTTGGTTTGAACGTATAGGTAAGGATTGATCTGTAGAGGTTTTACTTACAATTATTAATAGATGAGCTCCTTGGGGGAGTAAGATAGCAGGGGAAGAGCAAGTGAGGTTCGTGTTGTTATAACTAAGAGGAAACCATTTGAAATGTCTTCCCGTTGATTTTTTTTTAGAAATCCTTTAAGAGATTAGTACTTTCATTAACTACTTTCTTGGTATTATTTATGGTAAGTGTTTAATTTATGCAAAGTCCTTATTCTGCTTTCATACCAAAAATTATTTAAAACAGGTGTCTTAATTTTTGTTTCTCCAGATTTATAATAGATTTAATATGTTGATATTATAAAAACTTAAAGTATTACAAACATAATCTTCAAGTTGTGGACTTATGTTAAATATATTTAAGGTTGGATATACCTGAAGAATTTAAAACTTTATGTTTTTTACGGGGCTTTTTAGGGCTCTTTACATCAACCTGTATTTTTTAAACAGGTTTATTTTCAATTAAAAGTTTTATGTAGCACTTTTCTGATAAAGGCAAGGTTATAGTAGAATATATAATTTTGAGGTTAATGACATTCATTTTTGGAAATAGCATGATAAATAGTATATATTTCATTTATATTTTTATTTTATGAAGTGTTCAGTTATTTTATTTCCTGTGTGCAAATATCTTTATGTTCAGTAAAAATTTTATTAAATAATGGATTAAGTGTTCCATTTAATCTGGACCACTGCCTAAGAAATTAACTGGGTTTTGAATAACATTCATTGTACCATTTTCTCTGTGTTAAGAACTCAGTATTCCTTTTTGGGCTTGCAAAACAAATAATATTTCCTCAGTTTTCTTCTGGTCACTTTTATAAAAATACTTCTTTTTCTTCACTTTGTAACTTGGGGGGGTGGTTTTTGTTCCCACATGGTTCCTTATTAAACCAACAACTAAACATTACTTTTTTCTACCAGCCAGGCTGATCGTAACCTAATTTGGAGGAACTATTTAGATAATCTAACCAAAAATATGGGCATTATTATGTATATAATAATCATCTTAAGGGACACTGCGGTACATACAAACAGCTTCCAGGATCTTTGAAATTGGGGTGCATACAATATGAGATTCATGTGACTACTGATCTGAGAGACATGCTATATGTTTTCAGATGCCGTGGACAGAGAAGACAGTTGGCTTCCAAAGTTACAAAGGGAGATGTTTTGAAATCAATGTGTTGATGTGTAATTATTTCATTCCTCAAAAAGGCAATTCTAGTAGCTCCAGATTGAGTAGAAGCAGAGTTTTATTTATTCAGTAATAATGGATATTGATTCTTCGAAGCTGGGAAAACCACTAGTTGAGTGAATAAAGCAAGGTTTTGTCAGTATGGAATGAAATCTAGAAGCATGGAACAGATGGAGTAGACTGCGTGTCATTGGGAGGTGATTTCAGAGAGGGAGTATAACTTGAGCCTTGCTTACTTTGCAGAATCTGTCGAGTAAGTACAGCAGAGTCTCAGAGAGCAAGCAGGGCCTGGCGCCTGGAGACAGCGGGGGCCATGTGGCGTGAAGTCACACTGGGCGTCCCAGGCGGCACAGCGGTAAAGAGTCTGCCTGCCAGTGCAGGAGACGCAGACCCTGGGTCAGGAAGATCCCCTGGAGAGTGAGGTGGCGACCCACTCCCGTATTCTTGCCTAGAGAATCCCGTGGACAGAGGAGCCTGGCAGACTGCAGTCATGGGGTCACAAAGAGTCAGATACGACTGAGCACACACGCACACGTACTGCCTAGATCAGACAGGGGATGTGTTTGAAGAATGAAGGAGTAAGGTAAACTAGGGACAGTGGATATGCATTTTAGATGGCCTTGACAGCTAAGAAGGAGAAGTTAGATTTGTCAAAGGTAATACATCGCTGCTGTTCTATGCTTAGGTTCTTCCCTTCTCCCCTACCACCCTGACAAACTTACTGATGTGTGTATACACACACACACACACAGTGATCTTCCTTAACCAGCAGGCTAGAGACACATAAATTCTCTATGTGTCTGGAATGCATACTCATTTCTGTTAGTTCCAGCATTTGATTACCACCTTCTGGAAAGCAGCAACCAGTACTGAACCACTCGGTGAAAACCCTCTCTAAAGACCCTTTGGACCCATTAGGGTTCAGCTTGCAGGGCCAGCTTCATAAGAACGAGACCCCTGCAGTCACACTGGACCTCGCAGTCAGAAGGCACACGTGCTTGGTGTGATGCTTGGCTGTTACCGTCTTGAAATTTTAGTTTCTGAACAAGGTTCCCCACATTTTCATTTTGCAGTGAACCCTGCAAGTTATGTAGCTAGTTCTGTCAACAAGCACTTACTGATTATCAGTCCTGAACTAAAGAAGATAGGGTTCTAGTTTTACATCTAATGTTAGTAGCTCAGTAAAAACCATTAAGTATAATGGTAAAGGTAAATGACTTTGGAGTTGGTAGCATCTAATTTGTCTCAGCTCTGGCCCAGCTGGAGCTATGAGACCCTAGGAATGTACCTCTGTAAGTCTCAGTTTCCTCATTCATAAAATAAATTCAATAATATTGTAGTACTTTCATCAAAAAATATGTATAAGAATGTTCTTAGCAGGATAATTTGTAAATGTGTTAAACTGGAAACCATCAGATGTCTATCTTCAGCGCAGTGGAATACTATGTAACTGAATGAAATAGATGAAATATGTTACTATGTAACTGAATGTTACTATGTTACTATGTAACTGAATGAAATAGAATGAAATAGATACAACTGCAGGCAACAGCATGAGTGAAACTCATAAACATAATACTGAAAGAAGGAGCATAATTCATTTATATAAAGTCAAAAACAGACAAAGCCAAACTCTGCTTGAATATCAGGATATTGAGTATCCTTAGAAGGGGGACAGTGACTAGAAGGGGAACCAGGGAGCTTCTGGAGTTCTAGTGACATGTTTCCTGCTATGACATGGCCTTGTTCACTTTGTAAAGTTCACCAAGCTATATACTTCAGATCTGTGAACTTTTCTCTGATTTTATATGGTACCTGTATGAAATTTACATTAAAAAATAGTCTTGTCATACAATTACTATGGAAGTTAAAGAAACAACTGTGGAATCCTTAGAGATGCTTCAAGATGTCCACAGAATACAGGTTTAATTGAAGGCAGGAGGAGAAGGGACGAGATGGTTGGATAGTATCACTGACTCAATGGGCATGAGTTTGAACAAACTCTGGGAGATGGTGAAAGCCAGGGAAGCCTGGCATGCTGCAGTCCATGGAATCACAAAGAGTTGGACACGACTGAGCAACTAAAAACAACAAATGTCTTACAAATGGATACAGAGGAATTAGGGACACAATTTCAACAACTGTCTTGATTGTCCACTTTTTCCTTTCCAATGGACTTTTTTAAGACTTTGAAAGCCCTTTAAATGACACTTTTGGTTATTAAAATTGAGCCCTCTGGCCTGCACAGTTTTTTTTTTTTTCAGGTACATCTCATAGTTTTTGTTGACTAGTGAGATAAAGTTAAGCACAGTCTCACCTTGGTGTGAAGGCTGAACTATAAGCCCATTCTCAAATACGTACCTGAGGTTATCGCATCTTCTCTTGTTTGATTGCTTTCAAGAACTATTACCTAAATTCATTTGAAGACTACACTTAAATTGTCATTTTATCCTTTAGAACTAGTTTTCAATTTATGCTTTCAGTTGATCTGGCATGTTTTGTTGGTTAGTATATTTCATGTATATTTTTTCTTTTATTGTTTTCAGATGACTATGAAAGGCTTATATTTTCAACAGAGTTCTACAAGTGAAGAAGTAACATTTGTGTTCCGAGATAGGGTAAGAAAAATGGTTTAATCTTTAGATGAAACAAGACAGTGTATTTTACAAATGTCACAGACCTAATTTTAAATGCCCCATTACAAATTATTTTTGAGTGGCACCCTATAAATTACTTTAATCTTATGTGAAAACAGTGGTCGATATTATGGTATATTTTTGAAAGAGTTGCTGCAAAAGAGTTTTTAGTTCCTCAGTGTGGTAGTAGAAAAGATATAAGAAACTGAACAACTTGAGTAGTTTTATGTGTTGCAAAATTAACCCAATTTATTCTGAATACCACAATAAAATGATTTTTTAGATTATAGCCATATTTCAGAAGTACTTTCATATTGTGAAATGAAAGAAGTGGAAAAGCATTGTTTTTCACACTAACTTCTGAGCATTGCAAAGTTACTTCATGCACTAAGCTTTAAAGGTTTCCAGTTTGTTTTTTTTTTTTTTTACTACTTTAAGGGTAGAGAGTAGAATTTTTCTCTATTAGTGATTGTTTGAAAGGTTTGTGTCAGGCCAAAGCATTCCACTGTTAGTTTAGAGACAAAAACTAAGTGCGGTATGTATTTCATGTTGTTTGTATATTTCAGAGTAGTAATAAGAATCTCTGGATCGTGAACACAACTCAGTTTTTCTGTTTCATCTTTCAACAACTACAAAATCATTTAGATTAGGAATCTAATCAGACACTTTGGTTTCTGCCATTGAGTCCAAGAGGTTTGACTGGCTCCCAGAAATAATTATCACCAGGTTCACACAAATCATGAGTATACAATTATCAGTATTGCTGAATATCTTCATATAATCACCAAATAGTATCAAATCTGAGTTTAAGAAAGGGATATCCCAGAATACTGTGTTCATGTCAAATACAGTGAGTGGTCACTCTGATAGAACACAGGAGGCACTGTGCAGATAGCTGTTCCAGCCATCTAGCTAACACTTGATCTAATTTTGGGGCATATCAAGGATTGAAGAAAGCATTTTAATTACTGGTGTCATTGGTGGACGATACTAAGTACCTCAGTTTGAAATATCTTTGCCTTTGAAATTATATCTAGCTGTGGAATATGAGGGGTAAATTAAGTTCCATTAAGTTTGTATTTCAACCCCAGAGTCCCATGGGGCATGCTAAAATGTCCAAGACAGATGTTAAATAAGGTAGAGATCAACAAATGACACTAAAGAACTTTCTATATAGCATTACGAAAATTCCATAATCAGTACAGTGTATCCATTATGTATACATGTGTTTAAGGACATCCCCACATGAAGGGTTGATACTTGGAGACTATTTAAAGGGAACTGAAGCACACCATTTATTGCTCTGCTTTGTTACCCTGTGTTCATTGCCTACACATATATTCTTGTCCATAGCTTGGAAGTACATTTGCAGATTAGTACCTTAAGACTTCTGAAATTTTTTACCGCCAAATTCCCTACATTCTTTTATATTATATATTATAAAGGAATTGTTTGTAGCTTTTTCAGTTAACTTAGATGTAAGATTTCGAGGCTCTGATTTTGTTCAGTTATATATGAAAATTTTTGCAACATGAAGGCAGTATTCTCAAAGGAATGTGTAATTATTTTATCATTTGACTCTAGGAAAATCTTCCTGTTACAGAAGATAACTATGTGAAACTTCAAGTTAAAGCTTGTGCTCTGAGCCAGATAAATACAAAGGTATGAACACTAAGATATTGGTGCTTTCTGGGAAGACCCAGAGGGATCGGGTGGAGAGGGAGGTGGGAGGGGGGACCGGGATGGGGAATACATGTAAATCCATGGCTAATTCATTTCAATGTATGACAAAAACCACTGCAATGATGTAAAGTAATTAGCCTCCAACTAATAAAAATAAATGGAAAAAAAAAAAAAAGATATTGGTGCTTTGATTTGGCCAAAAGTCAAATATACTTGGTATACAAAAATTTTAATAATAATAACTGATTTCTAAATACCAAGAAGTTATTCTTAGAAGAACAGAACAGGTAGGGGAAAAAATTATTGTGTATTTCTATATTAATGTAAATTGTCAGTCTAATTGAATTCATGTATTTTATAATATTATATGAAAATATTTTATATGGAATTGGGTTAGATGGTAAGTTTACAGACAGAAATATCTGTATGTATTTTCTAAGATAATGGAAATTAAATGGTAGCTAACTGATATGCTGACACATTAAAATTATACATATCAACTAATCCCTTAGCAAACCTGGTTTCCTACTCCACAGAGGAATTTGCTTTTTTGTCTTGATGGCCAAAAATGGAGTCATATTTTCTTTTTCTGTGGTTTGATTTTTGCTCCTTCTTTTCTCATGTATGAATAGAGGTTAGAATTTATTCTTGATAATAAAGTCAAGACTTTGTCATTATTTAGCTTCTGGCAGAAATGAAGATGGAGAAGGAATTCTTTCCTGTTGGGAGAGAAGTTGCTGGAATTGTGTTAGATGGTAAGTTTACAGATAGAAGTATCTGTATTTATTTTCTAAAATAGTGGAAATTAAATGGTAGCTAATTTTTTTTACTGACACATTAAAATTATACACACTTCTTCAATACAAAGAAACCATACAGAAGTGTTTTTCCTTTTTTAATTAAAAAGAAAAATAGAACTTAATGGTATTTTATCATTGAAGAGCTTATTACAGTTTAGTAAATAAATATTTAGAGATTATGTATTTAAGTCCATGAGTAATCATTTTGAATAGTATAACCAGTATTGTCCTTTTTTTTTTCTCCCAGTATTGTCCTTTTTATGATGTTTACAAACCAGCATAAATTACTTGTGTGACTTGGCTTTGGGTCAAAATTTACATAATGGTCAATAACTGCACTCACATTAAATTTTTAAAGTGTGCCTAAAATTGAGTATTTAAAAGGTAAATAGGGACTACTTCCCTGCCAATCCAAGTGGTTAAGACTCCAAGCTTCCACTGCCGGGGGCACAGGTTTGATCCCTGATGGGGAGACTGAGACTCTGCCTGATGTTCTGGGCGAGAGTCATAGGCAGGATACTTGGCAGAAGAAAAAAAAGTTTGTCAAGAAAATTCCCCTTCAAAAATTGCAGAATAAAAGATAACTAACAAAATCTTTTAATGATGATATGAACACTGATTCCTTCATCTGCCCCCCAAAAATGAGGCAGGAGTGTAGGCAAGGGCCAGATCACGTTGAATCTCATCTCAGGTGGGGCTACAGAGAACATATTAGGGTGGCCATGTGAAGAGTGGACTCGAGGCAGCCCAGGCTGTAGGCAAGAGCACTGTGTGAGTCGTGGACCCAACAAGCAAGAAATGACAAAGTCCATAATGTGGACAGAGGTGGTAAAGGTACATTCAAGAAATACTGGGAAAGTCAAATCAGCAGAACTTAGTAATTGACTGGAACAGGAGAATTCAAAACATGTAAAGGCAGAAAATGATTTATAAGATTCTGGTTATATTTGAAAGTTGTCAGCTGATCGGTTGTGTTTGAAGTCATAGAATGCTGATGAGCTCATGCAGGGAGAGAAGGGAAATGAAGGAGACACACAGATTGCATGGACCCCTTGGCAGTGCCACTGTCTGAAGGACAATCCTTAATAAGAGGAGTATGCAGGACGCCATGAAAAAAGGATCACAGTGATTTCAGGAAGACAAGAATGCACAGCAGGAGGGAAAGAGAAGGCACAGAAAGCAAGAATATTGGGGGATGGGGGCACAGGCAGGATCCAGAGACGCAGCAGATTGGGACCCTTCTGCAGACAGAGCCAGCCAGAGGCGCCACTCCCAGATGGCAGACTTCTGCCTTACTTCTCTGCTGCACCTCAGTTCCCTCATCTGTTAAACAGGTCTAATAATACCTACTTAATGGGTGTGCCGTAAAGATTAAATGTGAAAACACACTAAAATGCTGGGCACAAGTAGACATTCAGTGAAGTTTGGGTTTTTCCCTCCTGTTTGCTCTTGTAACTATTGGAAGAAAAATATTCTACAGAATTGACTGATGGTGGAGGCCTTTTCTCTACATACACAGGGGAAGTGTAACTTATCACTTCTGTATAGTCCTCAAATTTCTTGGCCCCACTCTGAATTTATTTCCATAATCTCAAATCAAAGTAATTGCATATGTAACTCTAACCAGAATTTCTATTGCGTGTCTGCAGTGCTGCAGCTAAAGTCGTGACACACGGGACTGGCTACATGAGGAGGCCCAGTGCACCCAGTGTGGTCAGCGTAAGAGCTGCGAGATGGGCTCTTTTCCTTTATACCTTCGTCCCTAGCTAAACAGAGAGATGGCCTGCTCCATGGGGTCAGCAACCGCACAGCCCAGATTTTGAGGAGAGACCACATTTGAAGTGTTACATCCTACGGTCCCTTGCAGCCTGTCAAAATGTCCTAAAACTTCTTGACCTTTTCTCTGAGCCAGTGACTTTTATCAATCTATGGCTTTTGAATTTTAATTATTAGGTTATATTTAATAACCTTGTAATAATGATTATTAATTTTCTCCACATTTTAGTTGGAAGCAAGGTATCATTCTTTCAACCAGATGATGAAGTAGTGGGTAAGTTATAGGTCATAATCTTCTTATTTCAAGTCATCTGTCTTCCTGTTGTCTCTTTTTTCTGTACAATTGCTAATGTTTACTGTGACCTTGCTTCATATACAAGTACTTACCTAAGTTTTGGAATTTACTCTCAAGTATCCATTGGTGAAGAGAATTGGGAGTTCGATCTCAATAGCAGAACATTTAAAACTTTTCAGTATTAGCCTGTAGATAGGATAGAAAGAGACTTCCCTGGTGGCTCAGACGGTAAAGAATCCGCCTGCAGTGCAGGAGACCTGGGTTTGATCCCTAGGTTGGGCAATCCCCTGGAGGAGGGCATGACAACCCACCCCAGCATTCTTGCCTGGAGAATCCCATGGACGGAGGAGCCTGGAGGGCTGCAGTCCACGGGGTCGCAAAGAACTGGATACACCTGAGCAACTAAGCTCACACAGGATAGAAAGATGGCCAGAGCTGCTGTCCTTGGTGCAGCCCTTCCCGGACAGGAACTCCGTCTATAATTAGACTGACAACTCCAGAGAAAGGAAAAGTCACAGTCCATCTACGTGAAGACTGCTGACTGATTTGGCTATGCACATGCTCTTCTGTCCACATCCGAATGAACTGTATGCAGCTTCTCCCTTACTGCCCTCGTATAACCAAAACTTTGCTGAAGACATTTATTCTTTTCTTTTTTTCTGGTGTATGATTAATACCATTTTGCAAATATATTTCTTTATACTGTGTCCTAGACATTCATACAAACAACTATGAAGTAGTTAAGCAGTCATTTCTGAAGTTGCCATTTCTCTGTAGAAAGTATTCATAGGAGACAGTCACATAAACTAAGAAAATATACGGCTTTACAGCATGCTTGAAGCTGTTAAGAATAAATGTGTAGGAAAGTTGTCATCAGCTTTTAACAGAATTGCCTTTGATTGGGGGTATTTTCTTTGAGGATTTGCTATTTCTGTCTTTATTATCTGCCCAGGAAGTCAGGTAAGGGACTTCCCTGGTGGTCCCGTGGATGCGAGTGCACCTTGCAGTGCAGGGGACAGCAGTCTGACCCCTGGTCTGGGAAGATCCCACACGCCGAGGGGCAGCTGGGCCCGACCACCTCGGCTACTAACCCTCATTTTAGAGCCCACAAGCCACAGCTCCAAAGGCCCATGCACCGCAACTGAAGAGTAGCCCCTACTCACCACAACTAGAGAAGCCCACGCATAGCAGTGAAGAACAGTGAGCACGGCAATGAAGACCAGTGCAGCCACAGACAAATAAAATTTTAAAAAGAAAAAAGAAGTCAGATGACATTGTATTATTCAAGATTCTGTTTGTAAGAGACCAAAAATAAAATCCAACTGACTCAGGAGAAAATGGGATTTTATTGGAAGCATACTAAGGAATCTTATAGAACCAAACTCTGGGAGGGTTAGCCGTACGTCAGGGGCCAGTTTAATGAGGAGCTCAGATGCGCCCCAGTCTCTGACTTGGCTCTGTATGTCAGCCATCATCTCTGTCATCACTCAGGTGAAAGAGGAAGAAGAAAAAGAAAGAGGTAGTATAGGTGTTACAGTGCTCATATCAGAAAATAAACTATCTACTCTGCTTCTTATTTCTGAAATCTCTCCTTACTAGTACTGGAACCTTCCTCAAAATTCCACTGAGGAAGATTTAGACTAATGCTTACTGGCCTCTCATTAGGAGTGAGTTCACTTTTAGATAGTTGCCCTTAACGTTTCTCGTTTTAATTTTCAGGAATTCTGCCCCTGGATTCTGAAGACCCTGGACTTTGTGAAGCTGTTCGAGTCCATGAGCATTACTTGGGTATGTGGTTGTGCAGTGTTTTGGAGCTCATAAGTCTTACTTCCCAAGTGTGTGTGGTTTTTAACAACATGGTTGCTTTGCATCTGCCGTGAGTGTACCTAGGAAATAACTATTGGGTGGTCGTCATTTGACTACTTCTAGCTTAAATTTTTTATCTATAAACTTTATTTTGAAACTGAACAGTGTTCCTTCCTCTACATTTCCCTTACACTGTTCATGGTAAGAGGTTTGAAAAGCAGTTTCTCCCTTGGCTCTGAAATTATATCACTAATCAGAATTTTTTACTTCTTTTTCTTGGTTATTAAAATTTTCAAATGTACAAAATCTAGACAATACCTGTAGAGTCTGAGTCAGGAAAGACTCAAAACACTTATTCTTGGTTTCTGTTGCTAATATCCTTTGGCCAATACTCAATTTAACTCAATTGCTAATTTTAAAATTTTCTTTTCAGGTGGCCAAAGTATTGGAGTTTCAACTTCAGCATCAGTCCTCATTGGAAGGAGGAGCCCTTACTGGAAGGACTGATGCTGAAGCTGAAACTCCCAATACTTTGGCCACCTGATGCGAAGAAATGACTCATTGGAAAAGACCCTGATGCTGGGAAAGATTGAAGGTGGGAGGAGAAGGGGATGACAGAGGATGAGATGGTTGGATGGTATCACCGACTCGATGGATATGAGTTTGAGCAGGCATCGGGAGTTGGTGAAGGACAGGGAGGCCTGGCGTGCTGCAGTCCATGGGGTCGAAAAGAGTCGGACACAACTGAGCGACTGAACTGAACTAAATTTACTTCTTAAATATTTAAAGTGAATAAATTATATAGACATACAAAACATGCTGCATCTCCTTAAGAATCAGGGGGAAGCACATAAAAACCATGGTTATGCATCCTTGAACCTGACAAAGTCATAAAGTTTGACCATCCCAAGTGCTGGAAAGGATGAGGAGCCGCCGAATCTTTTGACCACTGGGAGTATAAATTACTAGAAATGCTTTAGAAAAATAACTTGACCTGATCTAATAAAGGTGATGATGTATTAACAGCTCAAACCTGGTAACTCTCCTGGTACTTTCGTGCCCCAGAGAGGCCTGATGTGCACCAGTAGACATGCACAAGACCCCACATAGTAGCATGGTTTGGATAAAGAGGAACAGCGTAAATGTTCAGCACCAGGAAAATGGACAACCAAAGATATTTCTCACTAACTCATCAGTAAAAGTGTATAAATAGCAGTCAAACATATCAAGATGGGTGAACCTCACAAACTGTGCTAAGTGAGAAAAGCAAGTTGCAGAAGTATACGACAGTGTGATACCATTTTATTTCTATAAAGTTCAAAACTACAAAATTTAATGAGGCATATATCATTTAAGGATATAAGGAACATGTAGGGAAAAAGTCATGTGGAAGTTACCTTTGTGGGCAAGGAAAGAGGACATGAACACAGCAGATCCGCAGGCCTCCAATGGTGCTGCCAGTCTTGTTTCTATGCTAGAATTCATGGTTTCTTCATAACTTACCTATAAGTCATCATACATTCTTTTGTATTCTTGAACTATTTCATTAAATTTTTTCCTAAGTTCTTTCTTGAATAATATAACTGGTAATCAGACTATGTGGGGCCAATTTTGGACTCTTAAATTTGGATTTTGGACTATTAAAAATAGTAAATTTATATACCTCCTAGCAAGTCTGTTCTTCCACCAAACCAAAAAAAAAACTAGGTTCCAAACAACTCCCTGAAGATGTCTTACTAATCTTGTTGCAGAATATTGAGGATAGAGGTAAAAAGTTGAATAAATTCTTCCAGCTCTTTTGTGCTTTCAATTCTCAAGCCATTCTGTCAAACATAAAAATTTTACTTTTTATACAAACATTTCATGCAGCTCAATAGAACCAAAACAAAGCCCAATCAAAAGATGGACAGAAGATCTAAATACACCTTTCTCCAGTGAAGACATACAGATAGCCAAAAAGCATATGAAAAGATGCTCAACATTGCTAATTGTTAGAGAAATGCAGATCAAAACTACAGTGAGGTATCACCTCACACCAGTTCGCATGGCCATCATTAAAAAGTCTACAAACAATAAATGCTGGTAACAGTGTAGAGAAAAGGGAACCCTCCTACATTGTTGGTGGGAATATAAGTTAGTAAAAACCACTATGGAGGCTCACCAATATGGGGGCTCCCTGAAAAACTGAAAATAGAACTACTCTATGATCCAGCAATCCCACTCCTGGGCATATATCCAGTGAAAACCATAATTCAAAAAGATGCATGCACCCAATGTACTTTGCAGCACTATTTACAATAGCCAGGACATGGAAGTAACCTACATGTCCATCAACAGAGTAATGGATAAAGAAGATATGGTACATATATATGATGGAATATTACTCAGCCATAAAAAAGCATAAAATAATGCCATTTGTAGCTACATAGACAAACCTAGAGATTATCATACTAAGTGAAGTAAGTCACACAAAGGAAGACAAATATTATATCACCTATATGTGGAATCTGGAAAAACAGACTCACAGACTTAGAAAAAAACTTATGATTACCAAATGGGAAAGAAAGGTAGAGGGGTGAAATACATTAGGAGTATACACACTGGTGGTGGTGGTTTAGTCGCTACGTCATGTCTGACTCTTGTGACCCCACAGACTAGCCCTCCAGGCTCCTCTGTCCATGGGATTCTCCAGGCAAGAATACTGGAGTGGGTTGCCATTTCCTTTTCCAGGGGATCTTCCTGACCCAGGGATCAAACCTGGGTCTCCTGCATTGCAGGCCAATTCTTTTACCAAGTGAGCTATGAGGGAAGTCCATCACATATGCACACTACTACATATAAAATAGATGATCAAGAGAGACCTACTGTATAGTAAAGGGAACTTTATTCAGTATTCTCTGGTGACTTACCTGGGAGAAGAATCTGAACAAGAATGGGTGTGTGTATATTTATAGTTGAATTCTTTACTACACACCTGAAACTAGCACAATGTTTGAGTCAGATATACTCCAATAAAATAAAAATTAAATTTAAAAAAACTGGCACACATTTTCAGCATTATTCCCTCGGACTTGTGGTAGAAAGAATTGAAATGATAATTACAAAGAATTGTAATACTGTTATTATTGATCCATATATGGCTCTCTTTTATTAATTATCTTAGTTTTTATAACATGATAAGTACTTGTGGACCACCTAATACAAAAGCAAGGATCTCAACATTAAACCACATCTAACCATGTAATTTTAAAGCCTCTGCAATTTTAAATGTAGTTTTATTAGTTAGCATCATTTTTATGTGATAAAACTTTTTAAATTTATTTTTCATTGGAGGATACTTGCTTTACAGTGTTGTGTCGGTCTCTGTATACCTGTGAACCAGCCGCAGGAATGCGTATGTCCCCTCCCTCCTGAACCTCCCGGCCCACCCGTCCAGGTCGTCCCAGAGCACTGGGCCGAGCTCCCTTGTTACACAGCTCCTTCCCTTTGGTTATCTGTGTTACATACAGGACTGTATGTTTCAGTGCTACTCTGTGAATCTGTCCCACCCTTTCCTGCCCCCTCTGTGTCCACAAGTCTGTTCTCTGTGTCTGCATCTGTATCCTTGCCCTGTCATTTTTTCAGCACTAAGTTTTTTATTTCTTCATGAGAGTATGCTGCTGCTGCTAAGTCACTTCAGTCGTGTCCTACTGTGTGCAACCCTGTGGACTGCAGCCTACCAGGCTCCTCCGTCCATGGGATTTTCCAGGCAAGAGTACTGGAGTGGGGTGCCATTGCCTTCTCCTAATGAAAGTATAAGTAGTACCAATTCTTATGATGGAAGATAATCTCAAAAATATAAGTACATTGTACATGACTGAACATGCACTGTGAGAGTGGATGGGCTTTAGAGTCAGGCTCAAACTCGGACTTCCCTGGTGGCTCAGAGAGTAAAGCGTCTGCCTGCAGTGCGGGAGACCCGGGTTCCATCCCTGGGTCGGGAAGGTCTCCGGGAGAAGGGCATGGCAACCCACTCCAGTACTCTTGCCTGGAAAATCCCATGGATGGAGGAGCCTGGTAGGCTATAGTCCATGGGGTTGCAAAGAGTCGGACATGACTGAGCAACTTCCCTTTCTATCTTTCTTCCTTTCTTTCTTTCAAACTTGTGGCATCAGACAAATTATTACCCTGAACGCCATTTTATAATCAGGAAAACTGGGAAAATTGCTGTCTCAAGTTTGTAAGGAGTACTGTCTGAGATATCCCCTGGTGCTTGGTATGTTTTACTGTTTTAATGCCTTGCTTGTCTGAACTTTTTCATCATGTGCTTGGATGCTTTATGTCCCCACTAGATGGCACTGGTTAGCCAATTTAATTCTCACTGTCCAACCCATCTGACTCTTTTCCCTTAAGAGGAAAAATACTTATGGTAAAGACTACTGAAAGTGTTATACACTTGATTTCAGGTAAAATTAGAAAGGATTACCTATACTGTGAAAAAATCACATTCAGTATACACATTCATAAAAACAAAATATTAAATAATTAAACATATTAAGGAACAGCTTAGTGGTCAGAAAATATAGAGCAAATATAACTTAAACTGTATTAGCAGTGTACGTTTTGTTTCAAGTGCAATAGAAAACCATTGATAAATTTTAAGCAAAGAAGTTTGAGGATGTTATTTATGTTTTGAAAAGATCGTTCTGACACTGCTGCATTTCAAAGACACCACTAAAGAGATTAAAAAGAGATGCCATAAAATTGAAAATATTTATAACACATGAGCAAGCAAATGACTTATCTAAAATATACTACGAATTCCTGCAAATAAATAAGAAAAAAGACAACAACAGTAGAAAAATTGGTAAAACACCTGAACAGTCACTTCACAAAAGGAATTCTAGGGCTTCCTCTGTGGCTCAGTGGTAAAGAACTCACCTGCCAGTTCAGGGGACGCAGGTTCAATCCGATCCTTGGTCCAAGAAGATCTCACATGCCAAGGAGCAGCTAAACTCAGGCGCAAAACTGCTGAGCTTGTGTTCTGGGGCCCAGGAACCAGCTACTGAGCCCATGTGCTGCAACTACTGAAGCCCGAGCGCCCTAGAGCTCAGCCACAGGAGAGGCCCCTGCAGTGAGGAGCCCACTGGCCACAGCTGGAGAGAAGCCTGTGCAGCACCGAAGACCCAGCACAACCGAGGATAAATAATAAAGAAAGAAATATTCTTTTAAAAGGAGTTCTGTATGGCCAGCAAACATGGAAAGGTGCTCAACTTCATTAGTAGGTGGGGGAAAGCAAATTAAAATCACAGTAAGAAACCATGACACACCCATACAATGGGCAAAAATGTGTAATACCAGGGTTGACAAGGACGTTCAAAGCAGCAGCTTTGTGAGAGTCAGTTCATAAGCTACTGTGTAAGTGTTCATTGACGTCAAAGGCAGAATTCCATTCCTCAGTAAATACCCTGTAGAACACCTGTGTACCAGCACAAGCATACTTTTATACATGAGCATTCTTAGTTAAGAATGCTTAACTCAGAATAGCATTGAAACAAGTATACTATCAAGGGTGAAACATCACCAGCCCAGGTTGGATGCATGAGACAAGTGCTCAGGGCTGGTGCACTAGGAAGACCCAGAGGGATGGGATGAAGAGGAAGGCGGGAGGGAGGATTGGGATGGGGAACACATGTAAATCCATGGCTGATTCATGTCAATTTATGGCAAAAAAAAAAACCACTAAAATATTGTAAAGTAATTAATTAGCCTCCAACTAATAAAAATAAATGGAAAAAAAAAAAGAATGCTTAACTCCTAAAAAGTTAAGAATACCTAACTACCAAAAAATGGGGGAAAACAGAAATGTTCCTTGACTCAAGAGTGGATAACCCATCCATTCTATTAAATTAGATGTTGCCATAAGACATCAAAAATTAAAAGCACTATAGCCTAGTGAGGCTTCCCCAGCTCAGTGGTAAAGAATTTGCCTGCAGTGCAGGAAATGCAGGTTCTATCCCTGGGTCAGGAAGATCCCCTGAAGAAAGAAATGGCAACCCACTCCAGTATTCTTGCCTAGAAAATCCTATGAACCAGAGGAGCCTGGCTGGCTACAGTCCATAGGGTCCCAAAGAGTTGGACACAACTGAAGCAACTTAGCATGCATAGCCACAAGTACCAAAAAAGGATGTGTCCTAAAAAATGATAAGCAAAAAAAGAAAATAGAAAAAAATGTGTATAGTACAGTTCCATTTAGATAAAGTTCAGAAACAGGCAAAACGAAATTATGTTGTTTAGGAATGTATATGCCGAATTGATGCTTTTGATCAATTGATCAATAAAGAATTAATGCTTTTGAACTGTGGTGTTGGACTACAAGGAGATCAAACCAGCCAATCCTAAAGGAAATAACCCTGAATATTCATTGGAAGGACTGATGCTGAAGCTGAAGCTCCTATACTTTGACCACTTGAAGCAAAGAGCCAATTCATTGGAAAAGACCCTGCCTGATGCTGGAAAGGATTGAGGGCAGGAGGAGAAGGGGGCAACAGAGGATGAGATGGTTGTATGGCATCACTGACTCAGTGGACATGAGTCTGCGTAAGCTCTGGGAATTGGTGATAGACAAGAAAGCCTGGCGTGCTGCAGTCCATGGGGTTGCAAAGAGTCAGACACAACTTGTCGATTGAACAACAACTTTATCATTAAACTAGTATGGTTGTGACCTCTGATGTCAATTATATCTCAGTTTTTTAAAAATGCCTTTGGTGGGAGAGGTGAGGCTGTCAACATGAGGGCTTGTTTTCTTTTTCAACCGGGATGGTAGCTACTTGTGTACTTGCTTTATATTTATTCATCCAGCTATGCTTTGTTTCATGTTTTCTGCATGTTTTACTTCAACCATATAACATTTAAAAAAATGCACACACTGACTCCTGCATTCACAGTGGAGTGTGTATGGGCACAAATCGCAGCAGATAAAGCGTGATGGAGGTGAAAGATACTGGGAGCAGAGGCCTAGACCAGGGCTGTGGTGGCAGCAGAGATGGAAGCAAACAGATCCAGGAGGCAGGTCTAATGGGCCTTGCTAACAGATTGTTTCCTCTTATTCTTTGTGATAGTTCACAAACCAGAAAAAGTCACATGGACAGAAGCTGCTGGAACCATCCGGGATGGATTAAGAGCCTATACAGCCCTGCATTATCTTTCTCATCTCTCGCCTGGAAAATCCGTGCTGATAATGGACGGAGCAGGTGTAGGTGCTAATAGTTTTGTTAAAAAACAAACCATCATGTCAATGTATGGCAAAACCCACTACAATACTGTAAAGTAATTAGCCTCCAATTAAAATAAATAAATGTTTTTTTAAGAAGACCAAAGTAGGATAAACTTAGGAAATTGAGAAATGGGCCATCCACTTACTAATACAATGTACTGTCAGTTAACTTATTCACTGATTTCCTATACCAAACTCCCATTTTCTAAAACAAGCAGCTTTTATCAACAGACGATAAAAGTGTTTAGTTTCTTACTGCTTTGAATCTGCTAGTACTTTAAAAAAGCAGACAAGCCATTTTTATTCATGCCTGTTACACAAAACTTGAAATAGCTCCTAATCTTTGAAGCTAGACCCCAGGTCTCCCTTCCTATTTTGTATCATATCCCTCATACTTACACTTATGTGATTAAGGTGCCTCATTTATAGATATATCATACAAGATCAAAACTGTACTAATTTAAACATGTTACATATATGTAGTGATGTATAAACATCATGTTTATACATGATAAATAAACATCAAAATATAAAGACACTAATAAAAGATTACATAAAAATCTAAAAATGTTACAGATTTTATATCTGTTGATGAAAATGATTTTTCTTTGAAAAAAAAAAAAAAGGCAGTCTTCATTGGCTTCAGCCCTGTGTCCAACATCAAGATAGTTATTTTCCTGAACTTACCCACAGGTCAGCAAAAGGATGGAACTTTTGAAGTGCTTTGATTTTCAAAAAGAGGTTGCTGGACTGGTATATGTACCGTATAATTAGCTTAGTACATTATGCTGACAAGGCCCTTAATGGCCCATTTTTATCTTTCCAAGGCCGTGTTCTGAATTCAGCCTGCTTCTGTCCTTGAGGTTATGTGCTACAGTCAGACTGGCTGGGAGCCTGTAGTGCACACAGCTCTTCCTTGAGGCAGAGTCTATCAAATGTTTCCCTTTCTAATAAGCTTGTCCATATTTTTTTTCTTTGTATCAGACAAGATTTTAAAATATACTGAAGTAGCACTAAACTGTTACTCTTTATTCAAAACAACCTAGAAGATGAATTAGACACAGCCTCTGCCCTCTATCTGTAACCCCATTGTGTATTTCTCCCACACAGGCACTTGGTACAATAGCTATTCAGTTAGCACACCATAGAGGAGCCAAAGTGATTTCAACAGCATGCAGCCTTGAAGACAAGCAGTTTCTTGAAAGGTTTAGGCCTCCTATAGGTGAGTGATAGTACTCAACACAGACTTTAATACATAAAATTTTGAAGAGATATCATATCACCTTGAAAACTCCACTTGTAAAGCAAACTGCAAAATGCCAAATACATGTCATTTTTAAAATGGACTTAGTTCCTGTGCTAAGTCCAGGGTTACTTAAGTTTACATTGTAATTATTTGGGTTTTTCTGTTGTTGTTTTTTTTTGGCCAGTGTGGCATGTGGGATCTTAGTTCCCCCACCAGGGAGAAGACCCACACCCCTCTGCTGTGCGCACTAGACCCCTAGGGAAGTCCCAATTATTTTTCAGAGTTTTTTCTTCTTTGCCCCATTGTTATCAACTTAGTCAAGTTTGAATTAGGTGAACTTTGACACAGTTCAGAAACACCTGATACCTCTTTGGTTTTTTAAGTCAATAAGTCATTACATTTTTGTATCACTTTTTGTTTCTCAAACTCTTTTACCCAGTGACATGTACCTAAAGGGGCCCACAGAGAATGAGATGGTTGGATGCTATCACCAACTCAATGGACATAGCTTGAGGAAACTGGGAGATGGTAAAGGATAGGGAAGCCTGGCATGCTGCAGTTCCTTCGGTTGCAAAGAGTTGGATACAACTTAGCAACTGAACAACAAATGTCCCTAAAGTTGCCCGTTTCCTGTGATGGGCTGGGATGGGAGATGAGCCAGTTAAACAGAAACCCATATAGTTTAGGATAAACAGGATATGGCATCAGCTGGGGAGCTCTTGAAAGGACTGAACCTATCCCAAAAACAATGAACATGGGAAAGAGAAAGAAAGTAGAAATTGACAAAATAAAATGGAGAGATGGGAATGGAATTTAGTAAACTGGAGTTAACAGAATTAATGTTGGAGATTAACAGATAAAGAGCAGAGTGTAAGTGAAGGGCCCGCAGGAAGGAAAGTAAGATTCACTGAGTATTAATATGAATGATAGTTCCTTAAATCCTCAACAACCCTGTGTCAAGTAACTGGGAAGCAGCATCTCAGAATTTAGCTTGTCCAAGGATGTGCCAGGGTATGTACCACTAGACCTGAAATGGAATTTGAACCCAGGCCTGTCTAACAGTAAAGCCTGGGTTATTTCCATGGTTATGTTATGCTTTTGGTAGATAACCAAGAAATGGAAAGAAGGTTGAAACAGGGATTGAGAAAGGAGGGAGATAAGAAAAAAAGAAGAGATTGAAAATGGAGGGGAGGAACATAAATAGTACTGTGGGCAAGGAGCAGTTTCCTCTTGGTTAACCCTGCCCTTCCCTCCTGTCTCCCCACCCCACCCTCAAGACTTCAGTCAGTACTAGACTACACCTCAAATCTGAGCAGCTCTGAGCAGAATTTTCTGTAATGAGAAGGTATTCAAAGATACAAAAATGAAACAGAGGTGTCTTCATTTTCCAATTCAAATTCTGAGATTTTTTTTTTTTTTAATATTTATTAATTTGGTTGCATCAGCTCTTAGTGGTAGCATGTGGGATCTAATTAGATCCCTGACCAGGGATTGAACCTGGTCTCCCTGCTTAGGGAGCAATAGTCTAGCCACTGGACCATCAGGGAAGTCCCCAAATTCTGAGATCTTTCAGTTCTCATTGGCTTGTTCTCTTTATAGAGTACTTTAAAACAACCAGTTAAAGTTAGTTTTATTTTCACTAACTCTGCTTAGAATAATCCTGTTTTGTTTTTTTTTTTCACCTTCAGGACTCTTTGTTTTTGTTTTAGAGGGCAAGTCAGGGAATGCCGGTACAGGTTGGGATTTCTGTGACTGAGAAAGGATAAAACTGCCTCTAATAGACAAGTACCAAATCCAGAATAGATCTTTGTACTTTTGAGCTCTGACCTCTATTAAATCTGAACATACTTAAGAAATTGTTTAATCTTTCAGTTCACATCTGAATGCATAGGTACATTTGCAGTTTAGAGAGTCTCAGTTCTGGCAAAACACCCTTTAGCTTATAAAGAACAGTCCTCTGTGTCAGCAGATCAACCTTGGAATATGTTATCTATAGAATGCTCATATTTTAATTTATTGACTGTACCAGTTTCTTCATTTAAACTGATTCTTACCAACACTGGGTTAGATCAAAAACAGGATAATAACAAAAACAGGATTTAATAACTGCTTCAACCATTTAATTCATTTCAGAGACGAGAAATTGAGTTGCTTTTCTTTCTCTTCTGGGAGCTGTGTTGATCACATAGAGAACAGCACAGTTGCCTGACTTTCTGTCCTTCGCAGCTCGAGTGATCGATGTGTCTAACGGGAAAGCCCACGTGACTGACAGCTGTTTAGAAGAAACGGGTGGCCTCGGAGTGGACATTGTCCTAGATGCTGGAGGTGGGTATTCACTAAATTAGTGATCTCTGTCATTTTTTTATTGTGATGGGTAAATTTCTGGGAAAAATATAAACAGGAAGTAATTACTTATATATTTATTAGTTGAGGTTGAGAGTTTTTTTTTTTTTCCTGGGAGATCTAGTTTTCGGATCAGGGATTGAACCGGGGCCTCCTTCTTTGGGAGTGTCCAGTCTTAGCCACTGGACCACCAGGAAGCCCGTTTTGTTTTTAGATGAAGATGCTATATAAGGTGATATCTTGGGCCATTTCAGTCACTGACTCAGTTTCCTGAGTTTCTCCAAAGCATGCACACTGCTACTGCTAAGTCACTTCAGTCGTGTCCGATTCTGTGCGACCCCATCCCTGGGATTCTCCAGGCAAGAACACTGGAGTGGGTTGCCATTTCCTTCTCCAATGAATGCATAAAAGTGAAAAGTGAAAGTGAAGTCGCTCAGTCATGTCCAACTCTTTGCGACCCCATGGACTGCAGCCTCCCAGGCTCCTCTGTCCATGGGATTTTCCAGGCAAGAGTACTGGAGTGGGGTGCCGTTGCCTTCTCCGGAGAGTTTTTTTTAATTTAATGTTTTGGATTGGAGCTTCTTCATTTTATTCCCATTTTAAGCATTGTTGGAAGAGAGAACATGCTTACCTTTTAAAAAGGTATGCATGCTTGCTTAGTGGCTTCAGTCATGTCTGACTCTGCAACCCTATGGGCTATGGCCCACCAAGCTCCTCTGTCCAGGCAGGAATACTGGAGTGAGTTCCTATGCCCTCCTCCAGGGGATCTTCCCAACTTGGGGACTGAACCCTTGTCTCACATCTCCTGCATTAGCAGGCCAGTTCTTTACCCCTGGGGGCTTCCTTTGTGGTTCAGTCGGTGAAGAATCCACCTGCAATGCGGGAGATTTGGGTTCAGTCCCTGGGTTGGGAAGATCCTCTGGAGAAGGGAACAGTTACCCACTCCAGCATGCTGGCCTGGAGAATTCCATGGGGCCTCAGAGAGACTGCGTGACGTTCACTTTCCCTTCTCTACCGATGGTGCCGCCTGGGCCGCCCTGTGAGGTCCAGGCACGGGGATTAAAGGATCTGCAAGGCGTCTGGGGCCTCCCTGGTTGTGCTTGTGCTGGCTGTGCTCACTCTCTCAGTCACGTCCAACTCCTGGTGAGCAGCAGCCCGCCACGCTCCTCTGTCCATGGTATCTTCCAGGCAAAAATACTGGAGTGGATTGCTATCTCCCAGAGGGCTCTTCCTGACCCAGGGATTGAACCTGCGTCTCCTGCATTGGCAGGTGGATTCTTCACGGGTTCAGAGGTTCTTGGATTTGTTCAGGTCTCAGCCAGTCACTTGTTTCTGCTATGTATGGCTGCCCTCTGAGGGATGGTGCACTTCTGCAGTCCCTTTTTGGAAAATGCACAGATTTTTTTTTCATTTTACCTTCCTTGAACTTTTGTAGCTTAACCAATAGCTATTTAACACCTAATCTCTACACACTTAGGTAATGCCACTGCACCTTAAGAATAGGATTCACAAACCTGCCAAGGGATTCTATTTATATTTTGTTAGAATTTATCTTCTAAGATCATAACAAATGGAGCTGTGGCCATAGCTGTTTCTTTTAGCCAGTATTTTCAAGATTTGAAATTAACTCAGAAAAATAGTTCAGTGAAAGTGAATGTATAGTTTATTAACTTTTCAAATGGACATTTCAATAATTATGTCAAAGCAGGACATTCTTGAATCTATAAATTCCTTACTCAGAAGTCAAATTTTCCCAAGGTATTAAGCTATCAATGGTATGATTAAAACAGTCAGACTTAGCTGTGTGTGTGTTGTTACCTTGTCTGATTTTCAAATTAAAAGGGTCATTTTATCTTTAATTATCTCATTTATAATTAAATCTAAAGTAAATTTTATTAACAGTTTTAATGCAAAAGTATATTTTAAGGTGTCTGAATACATCATATGTTACCTTGTTCTAAGAAAAATGCTTCCTTGTTACATTAAAAGTAAAGAGAACTAGTTTGAAGAATAAATTTTTACCAGATTACTATAAAATATATGTTCTCTTCCTCTCTTTCTTTTTAAACAATTCCTCTGTAAGTGAGGTTATATAGTAAAGATGACGAACCAGCTGAAAAATTACAACTACTACCACATAAACATGATATCATCACCCTTCTTGGTGTTGGAGGCCATTGGGTAACAACAGAAGAAAACCTGCAGGTATTCACAGAAACAGTAAAGTATTACTATTCCACCAATAGGATATAATTAACAAAGAGTAATGCCTAAGTCTTTTAACATGGTATGGCTAAATTTGTATAAATTTTTAATTATTTCCTATTTTTAAAGAAATATAGCTTTTATTTATTTTTTTAACTTTAGCTGTTGGCCAAGATGTTGAAATATAGTTGAAATATAGCAGAGGAGTTCATTTAACTTTTATTTAGTGGTTTGGAAATAATGACTTCTACTAAATTTTTTAATAGTATTTCAAATAAGATTTTTTTTCCTTAGTAACAAACATTCATGTTGACATATACTCAGCAAAATATTTCTATATAAAATGACAGTTTCTTAATTATTCAAATTAGAATTTACTGTGTGTGTGTAGTCTTCCAAAGTTATATTTCTCAGCAAAATTCAAGGATTTTTATTATGGTGATATTCACATACCAGAATTCTCATGTTCCAGTCTTCAATGATTTTCTAACTTCCTCATGAAAACGACTGGTGAGTAGCAGCTAGAAATCTCACACACACACACACCTCTAACACACACACACACACACACCCCAACTCACACACACACCCCACCCCACCCCCAATACCACTATATCACCTCTGGATTGGCCTTACATTTTGACCTTGCTGTTTGATAATTTTGGACAATGAATTAGAAAGAAAACATTACAGTGTACGTACTGTTACTAAAGTCTGTGTGCTGATTACTTGCGATTTGGGTATTACTTTGTGTAAAAATTTTTCTGACCTAAGATACCAATTATTCTCCTGCTATGAAACTCACAGTAACTGAGCGTTCTTTGTGCATTTTATCCAAGCTGGATCCTCCAGATAGTCATTGCCTTTTCCTCAAGGGAGCAGCAGTGGCTTTCCTTAATGATGAAGTTTGGAATCTGTCAAATGTACAACAGGGAAAGTATCTCTATATCCTTTTTTTCTACTGATTTGAATTTCTGGCTTGAAATGTACCTTGTATTCTCATCATTAAATTCTTTAATAATGATAATAGTTAATAATAATAGCAGCTAACTTTCATTGAACATGCCAAAGTTCCAAGTGTGTTGTAGGTACTTAATTAAATATGAAAACAACCCTGTGAAATTTAAGTACTATTATTATCCCTCTGTCACAAGTAAAGAAACAGAAGGATAGAAAGGTTAATACACGCCCAAGGATGCAGCTGGCAAGTGCCAGGACAGGAATCACACGCAAGCTGTCTCATTCGTTTCTGAATAAGAAATCAAACTATAGGAGACATGGAAAAATTTACTTCATTTTAATCTGGCCTCAAGAAAATCAGAGGTCACCTTAAAAGACTACATCTGTACTCCTATGGCGGCACCACTGTGCAAAACATTTGAGAATATTCATCTAAATTAAAGAGTTGAGGGGGGGCTGTTTTTAAGAATATCAGTGCTAGGAAATCTTTATCAAAGAAAGATGGATTATTTTTAATGGAAGTGATTCAGTAACAAATCTAGTGTAAAATCGAATCATTCCATTTTAGTAAAAGTAATCAAGTTTTCTTGAGACTCTGAAAGCAGTTCTGAAAGAAAGGTCCAAACCTCTTTAGAGCAGGGTCAATTTAAGAATAAACATTTTGTTTCTGAGATCCTGTCTTAAAGGCAGCTGTACTTGGTAAAATTTTTAATATTAATATATTGGATAAATATTAATATATTCTCATTACTGAAAAGAGTATAATTATGCATGAAGAGACTTACATGTCTCACTGAATATCATTATTTTTATCAAATGCACGTTGTTATATATGCGTGCTATGTACAAGGCCAGCCTCCTCTAAAATCTATGGCAAGCTTATTTCAGAGCCTTCAAATAGTAGTATTTAATCAGTATATTGCATATTTTGAGTTTTAAAGAGTTCATTTCAAAACCAGAACAACCCTTTAATGTAGTGAATGTGTTTATTTTTGATTAAATGTTTTCCTATTAAATTTGGAAAATAAACTTAATTTTTAACTCTCTAAAAGAATTATTTAAATTTCAGCTTTAAATAATGAAATGTCCAATAACATTGTAATTCTCAAGAATACCATGGGATGTTAATTATAGACACACTGTATTAAAAGTAACACAAGTTAGCATGTTTTGAATCTTATATGTCAGAAGGCAGGCTGGCTGCTCTGCCTGCATTACTTAATTCTCTCAACTGCTCTCCTTTCCCCCACACCATAAGATTTTAACCTATCTGACAAACTCATGGACCAAGTTGAAATATGACATGTTTATTAGAAATGTTAAATTTTCAAAAATCAGAAATACATATTTATACACACACACACATACAATTGTCAATTTCATTAACAGAAGAAAGCGAATTTGCAGTAACAAAGAGTGAATCAGTATTCTTTAGGTCCTTTAAAAAATATCTTCAAAGTAGCTTATGTTTGTATTTTCTCTCTTACATTTCCTAAAGTCGTGAATAAAACTTTAGTCCTCACTTATGCAAACCCCCCTCAACTGCATCACACATGAGCCAGTTGATGCTTATGATTTATAGAGACAGCCTTCCAATTGTGTGATTATACACCATAAATAATTCCCCGGTACTAGCAGTTATATAGACTCTCAGCCCTAATATTATTTCAATTAAATGACTAGAGTTTTAAATTTTATAGTTTCTTATTTGCACATATTAGACACAGAGATTAACTTTCTTGCATACATGTATCAGCTAGCTTAATAAATGTGCTCCTAAAGTAAGAAATGTCAGTGCTAAAGTTGTTAATTAAAAATACCATATGTAGCGCTAAGATGAAACCCTGACCCATTCTGTTAATAATAGCGTCCACTTGAGATAACACTAGTCGTTACTTAAGGAGAAACAGGCTTCTTTCATCACTTGTCCTTTGAAGTTTTATGCTCTGTTATGTCAATCTCTCTCTCAAATCACTTCCCCCATTTTCCTGGTTTAGAGGTAGACTTGGATAGCTTACAGAATTTGTTACAAAAATAGGTGACCTGCCTAGCATCCTCTGCTTATCAGATAGTTTTATTTACTCCTTTACATTGTCACCTTAACAGTCTTTTCCAGCTACGTATTTTAAAAGACGTGATGGAGAAGTTATCAACTGGTGTTTTTAGGTATGCTGAACGACCAAATCATTGTTCTTGTTCATTTTTCTATTCTCCAAGAGATAAAATGAGCATTCCCATTTTTGTTTCAGCTTTCTCAGTACACTTGTTGCCACCATGTTACATTTTGTTTAGATAAACAGCTGCTGTTTAATATTTCTAAAGTGTATCCTGTGAAACACCAGTATTCCCTAAGATGGAAGTGGTTCATGAGTTTTCTTTACTCCATTCCATACTGTATCAGCCACTTCGTTTATCCACATCACCCCTCCCAAAGCAATTTGAAATAACCCACAGGTAGACAGGAGAGAAAAGTACAATTTTTTTTCAGCTGAATCTGTTTTATCAAAAAAGAGGAATTTAAAGAGGGAATGGAGAGAATGGGTATTTTCCCCTTTCAAAATCTAACCACTTTTAATAGTGAAAATATTAATGGACAAATTTTATTTTAAGTAACAGAGTTGAACTACAGCAATTGTCAACTACTCTGCTGTGTACTCTCCTCATCCTTAACTAGACATTTCTAATAATTTCATTCTTCCTCAGACCTCAGTTGGATGAACCCATTCCACTATACGAGGCAAAAGTCACCATGGAAGTTGTTCAGAAAAATCAAGGAAGAAAGAAGCAAGTTGTTCAGTTTTAACGTTCTCTCTCAGACCTCAGGTGGATGAACCAGTTCCAGTATTTGAAGCCAGAGCTTCCTTGGAAATTGTTCATAAAAGTCAAGGAACCTAAAAGCAAGTTTTGTGTTTTTAAGCATATTTTCCTGCTGAAACAAGATGCTCATATTTGAAGTATTTGAAAAGCATCTGAAAAAAATTATCGTACAGGTCGAGACAGTTGTAAAATTTAACATCTAAAGGGAATATTCTGAAAGCCTTTTAAATTATTGTCCCTATATATTTGCCTCTTATAAATTCTCTACATGAAGAAAAACTGTCATCGGAATCCACACTATGTCGACAAGGCTTGCTTTGTCAAAATACCGTTATTACTTTTCTATTCATCTCCTTTCTCAATACTTACCTTCTTTAAAAATCCTTTGTTGTCGTAATTTAATACTTAGACTATATTTCCAAGTATGAAAGGATCTAGTCAAGAGAAAGCTAAAATTTTTTTTTCTTCAAATATTCATTCACTCCAGGGTTTCCTCAAAATGGAACCAGAGCATCACGGTAACGCGCCCGTGACCGCTGCGGTGTTTGCGTGGAAGGCTGCAGCGGCGATGCCGGCTGGGGCCGCGGGCGGGAGGCGGCGTGCCGTTTTGGGGGGGTCGGGAGGAGAGGCCCAGGCCCCTCTCCGCAGCCCTGGACGTCGCCGCTGAGCTCCGGAAGCTTACTGAAGCGGCAGCTCAAGTGTGACGCTTCCTTTCTTCCTGGCGCCTCGCTGAGGATTTAAATAGCACTCGGCTCTCCCTGCGTGCTTCCCAGCCACCTAGCCCCGGGAGGTCAGGCTGGCGCGCCCGGGGAACGTCCTGGGACACACACGACAGCAGCGCGTTTCCCGCCGCGGGAGGAACATGGCGGGGGCGGGCCCGCGCGAGCGCCTCGCCGCGCACGCGCCGTGAGCGGCTCGGGGGCGGGGTCACGGCGGAGGCGGAGCCCGGGCGCGCGGGAAGCGCTCGTCGGGTCAGCCCCCTCGGACTCCGCCGTGCGTCATGGCTCTGTCGGTACCCGGCTACTCGCCCAGTTTTAAAAGGCCGCCCGAGACATTGCGGCTCCGACGAAAAAGGGGTCGGAGCCTCGGCGCCGCTTCGGCGCCCGCGGAGCGACCCGAGCCGGCGACCCTCGAAGGAACCCCTTCGCCCGCCTGGACAACCGGCCGCGGGCCGCCGCCGAACCTCTCGAGGGCCCGCCCCGCGGCCAGCAGGAAGCGCCGGGCCCGGTGAGTGTCCTCGCGCCTGGGAGCCGAGGGTTGGGGGCTCGTAACAGTCCGGGGATCGATTCGGCCGTGAAGTGGGGCTGGCGGGCTCTCGCGTCCCTGGAGGGAAATGGGCGCGCAGTTGAAGTCGCCCGCGGCCTCGGGGTGCCCGGGGGTGGGGAGTGGGGGGCGGCGTGAAGGTCGCTCCGCGAGCGGTCGCGGGGCGTGCGGGGCCAGTCGGTCCCGAGGAGCGGACCCTGCATCTCCCGCGCTTCCGTCCGCTGCCTGGCCTGCGGAGCCTGGGCGGTCGCCGTGGAGTGAGAAGGATGAGAGGTCAGTGGGCACGTGGCTCGGAGTCGTCCTGGAGCCACCGGGGAAGGCCCCCGTTTGGGGAAGAATACAGGACCCTCTTCCCTGCGGCATTCAGTGCCTCTCCCGTCCTCCAAATTATTCTGGGTTTGGAGGAATGGTAAAGATTCATCAGGGGTCAGAATTTACCCCATAAATGATTTGTCTTACTCCAAAACCTTTTGGATCTTTTGAGTGGAGATTATTGAGTTACCAGTTGTGCAGACCACCTGCCTTCTTCCCCGTGCGTTTTGATGGTTAAAGTTCAGACACAAAGCTGAAGTGACACTCTCTGTCACACTGATTTGGGCTCCTGGGCTGACTGAGAAACTTGTATGCCAGGTGAAGCTCTGCAGGTTTAAAGCGAACTCTAGCACCATTTAGAATTTAAAAGGACCATTTTTTTCACCTCAGTTTTTAGATTCTAATCAAGAAAATGATTTGCTCTGGGAAGAGAAGGTTCCTGAAAGAACAGCCATTACAGAATTACACCAGGTAATGCTTAGAATGTATATTTTTATAAATTCAGACTGCTGAGAAGCGTTTTACTTGAGAAACCGTTTACCAGAGAGCCTTGTGTGATCATTTCTACTAGACGTGAAAGGACGTCCGGCATCAGCCTTGGTAAAGGATGTAGGATGTAGTAGTAACAGTTTGTCATGGTACCAGTGCTAAAGCAGATGGAGAGGTGAGGTTTCTTTTTCATTCTTTCATTGGTAGTGACAAGTCCAAAGCATCACTCAGAACTAGTGCCTCCAGGCTTATCCCACCCTGAATCTTCAAACCAAATCCCCAGATTAGCTCCACAGGTGGTGGCATATCACTGAACCTCTGTCCTACCCCCTCAACACCACACGCTCCTCTTGACCCCATTCCTCAGCTACTTCCTTGGTGACGTTTGTCCAGAGGGGAGCAGGCTAGAAGAGTTCCCCCAAGACCCAGTTTCCCTTCCTTGCAAGTAAATTGCCTTCAGATCCCTTGGAAATAGTTCCCCCTTTCCTATTATTTTTAAATAACATCACTTAAAAAAAATCATTGTAATACAGAGAATAGTGACTTGACAGCAGACAGTTTGGGAGGAATTTTTGAGGTCAGCAAATGCTTCTTAAATCAGCCTTAGAGGATGATTTAGAGGCCAGGTTACCTGCAAGGAGCAGCTTAGCCCTGGTTCCAGAGTTTTGGAAGCTAAAAAGTGCTTTTGAAAAAATGCTTGGAAGATTTATGCTTTGACAGCAGTATCAATAGCAGATTTTTAAAAATTATAATCATGAAAATAGTGTTTCTCTTGTGACTAAACTATGTAGAACTATAATGAAAGTGAACACTGCCTTTTCCAACACTACCACCACCCCCAACAACAACAAATTCCCACTTCCCAGAGATAACATCACTGTTAATGGTTGAGTGTAGCTCTTTCTGGACATTTTCACAGTGTGTAGTTAATTTTTAGTGTTATCTATTGTACAGTTCATAACATTTTGAGATTTCAGTAATCATAAGCATGTCTAGTGGATGACTCCTGTAGATTGGAGGGTTCTTCCCTTGGTGCTCTACTAATTTTCGTGTTCTTTGTTTTCTAAAGACTCCTCATGTATCATTCTCCGAATCTGCTGTTCCACCCTCAGAAAGTACCGAGTTACCTGTGGACTGGAGCATTAAAACACGACTCCTTTTCACCTCTTCTCAACCCTTTACCTGGGCAGATCATCTGAAAGCCCAGGAAGAGGCTCAAGGTATCATCCAGCATTGCAGGGCAACAGAAGTTACTTTGCCTCAAAGTATACAGGTAATCCTGTGAGAAAATAGCTATGCTTTAAAGTAACAAATGAAGTCTAAAAAGTACTTCTCTGCAAACTGTCAGTGATATTTCCTTCCATTAAGTTTTTCTTTGGACATTTAAAGACACAGAGACATGGGGAATTTTTTTATTTTCCAAATGCCGCGTTCATATACTTCTTTAAATCATACTGAGTAACTGTTAAATTTATAGACCTGTCCTGAGACTTACTCATTGTTGCAGGCAAGAATTGTTTGAACTAAACTATTCTTTATAAGGCCTTTTGCGGGAAAAAAAAAAAAATGAAAAGCAATTGAGGAGTAGGATTGCAAAGAGATTTTACTGGTTTCCTCATATACTGTATACTGCGTTTTTTAAATGCGTTAACTCTTACCCGCTTGGGAGACAGTCTGTTGTAAATTTAGTAGAGTTAATGAGTTCTAGAAAAGTTTTTACAAATGTAATTACCATTACTTTCAAGCAGCTCAACTCAGACTAGGTTAAAAGATTACCTTGGTTACCTCTTTTTTAATCAATAGATCCTGGTGATTTGTGATTGGGACTATCGGTTTTTACTGGCTACTTTTGAAAGAGTTTTGAGGCAAAGGAGTTGAATACAGTGGTACCTGCACACACGCACCGCTGCCCTGGTGGTAAAAAATGATCATCATTGTTCTCAAGGCTGGTAGAGACAGGCAGATGTTTCTCTCTATGTCCAGGTGTCCTTTCTGATTTGTGGGTTAACAGACTATAATTGCTGGCAAGGAAGGTTTTCCCAAACAATAGTAAACTACACTTTAGCCTCTGTAACTGTTATTAACACATTCTTACAGAAGAATAAATGTTTGGTATATTCAGTGTCCTTTTAATTAAATTCTGTGTTTCTAATGGGGCAAAAACTGTCCGATGTCATCTTTGGATTTTAGGATCCCAAACTCTCGGCTGAGCTCCGCTGTGCTTTCCAGCAGAGCCTCATCTACTGGCTCCACCCTGCCGTGTCTTGGCTGCCGTTGTTCCCTCGCATTGGGGCTGACAGAAAAATGGCTGGAAAGACAGCGCCGTGGTTAAACGACGAGACCCTGCAACACGTGTTAATGAGTGACTGGTAAGATGAATAAAAATTCGTGAATCCCATAGTGAATTTTCATTTTAGCAGTATTCTTTCCTTATTTATGATGTGTGATTGGGCATTAGTAGATGGATTTCTCTGTCCTTCTGAATTATTAAAATGTTAATGATTAACTGCTGGAGAAGACTCTTGAGAGTCCGTTGAACATCACGGAGATGAAACCAGTCAATCCTAAAGGAAATAAACCCTGAATATTCATGGGAAAGACTGATGCTGAAGCTCCAATACTTGGGCCACCTGATGCTAAGAGCCGGCTCATTGGCAAAGACCCTGATGCTGGGAAAGGTTGAAGGCATAAGAAGGGAGCAGCAGAGGATGAATTGGTTAGATAGCATCACTGACTCAATGGATGTGAATTTGAGTAAACTCCTAAAGATAGTGAAGGACAGGGCAACCTGGCATGCGTAGTCCATGGGGTCACAGAGAGTCGGACGTGACTTAGTGACTGAAAAATAACAGCCATGGCTAACAATTTAAACTGATTTAAATTGTTTACCTTTGGGGAATTCCCTGGCAGTCAACTGATTGGGGCTTGTAGCCTGAATTCAGTCCTGGTCAGGGAACTGAGATCCTGCATTTTGCATAGTGCAGGCCACTCCCTGCCAAGAGTTTTTTTTCTCAAATTGTTTACTTCTTTAGCTTGTATTCACTTCTTTTCTTCCCCCCCTCTGGCTGCATTGCAAAGCTTGTGGGATCTTAGTTCCCCAACCAGGGTTAGAACGCATGCACCCTGCAGTGGAAGCCAGGAGTACTAACCACTAGGCTGACAGGGGATTCCCAGCTTATTCTCTCTTTATGTAGTTATGGAATATATATAAGTGTTTGATGACTATATAGAGACATAATTCTTTAATATTACTTATTGTTAATGGCTGTGTCCCTTCTCATCAATAGAAGCTGCTTATTAAAAGTCAGCAACCTGATATCAACTGCTTTGTCTATAAAGAAAAAATGGCAAGCATTTAAATGTTAAATGCTAC